AAAAAATTTGCCTGACACTTAAATATTTCATGAAGTATCAAAAGATCAAAAGTCAAAGCTTCTTGACTAATAACTGACTTTTCATTAAGTTTCTAATGTTATATATATTTTGAGAAGAGATTGCCCACCTATATACAGTCATTGGTGAATTTGAATTTTCAGATAGTTATATATTCTTTGAGTTTGTTTCACAGTTCCTTAGTGACTATGCCCGCTTACCTACCTGGATATCTATCTGCATGCTGCTGTTGGTGGTGTTGTTAGGTGCTATCAAGTCCAGTACAACTCAAAGTGTTCTGCTGGACAACATTTCTGAACCCTCTCCTATCCTGTGCCAACCTCACAATCTCTGAAATACTTTAGCCTATTGCTAAATAGCCACTGTATCAAACCACCTGGTTGAGATTCTTTCTCCACAGTCATTCTACCTTTCCAAGCATGATGTCGCTCTCCAAGAAGTAACCTTTTCTAGTAACATGGCCTGAGTATTATAGGTGAAGCTGTGCCATCCTTGCTTCCAAGGAGCAATCTGGCTTCACTTTCTCTAAGACATATCGATTTGTTCTTTTGGCAGTTCATTCAATACTCCCCTCCAACATGATATTTCAAAGGTATCAATTTTTCCTTTTGTCAGGCTTATTCACTGTCCAGATCTCAGATGCTCCATAAGTATCTTCAACTCCAATACTACTATTAGCTACTATTCGGTATTACTGCCTCCACTCCTTGACTAAATCCTAAATTTATAAATTATCCTGACTAGAATTTTAATCCCAGCTTGCCAAATTTAGAGTCTTGCCACAGGTGAATATTCCCCAACAAAAAACTTTAACCTTTCCACAATTAATTAACATTTTGTGCTAGATGTTCCCAGCTGCCCAATTAACCAGGTTACTATTGATGTGTTCTATAAGAACTACTTTTGTATGATTTCTGTCTTGAAGAGAGTTCAGTTCTCAAGTGTCCTTTCTGCTTTCGAAAACTGTAAATCAGCTTATTATCAACCTTTTCTCACCTCTCTCCTGGGTTTAATCTGCAAATAATCCTTCTTTTCTTCTGTCCAATCATTTTATATACTATGATCCAACTTCATTTCCTATCTTCAAACTCTTCTCTGTCTGTCATGCTAAAAGAGTGATGAGAACTTTGCATTTCCAAATACACTGAGGCAACCTCCATGTTTATATATATATATGTATGTATATAAATACACACACACACACACACACACACACACACACATCAGCTCAGTGTATGGAGTAACCCTGTTAAATCAGATAACATGGTTGAATCAACCAAACTGTTCCACAGGAGAAAGAGGGACAATCTCCTCCTGTGTAATTCACTGCCTCTGAAAACTCATCAGAGTATCAGCTATAAGTCAGTTTGACTTGACAGTGCATAGAATTAATATTTACAACACATAAGTACAGATTTCTCTTCACATTTAATTTTTTTGTATTGGTGTCTTTTGTTGTAACAGTTGAGTATGACTCATAGTGACTCTATGAACAACAGATAGGAATCCTGCCCTGCCTTCATCATCTTTAATACATTTAAGCCCAATATTGTGATAGTCACTGTGTCAATTCATTTCATTGAAGGTCTTTCTCTCTTTTGCAGACCTCCACCTTTCCAAGCATGACATTCTTTGGCAAGGAATAACCTCTCCTAGCAAAATGACAAAGTGTGTGCCTAGAAACAGAAAATTAAAATTTTATGTTTCAATATTATTGTTGTTGTGTGTTGTCAACTTGAAACCAATAATAGCTGACCCTGCAGGAGGTTTCAGAGATTGTACATCTAAAGGGAGAATATTGTACATCCCTTTCCAATGGAGCCGCTGGTGGATTTGAACCCTGCGCCTCTGGGCTTACAATGCAGCCTCTTACCAATAGGCCACCAGAGCTCTCTATTGTTGTGTACCATCAAGTCAGAACCAACCCATAGTTGACCCTCTGGCAGGTTTTCAGCAGTTAATAGCGTGGGGAGAGATTGTCTATTCTCCTGTGGAGCAGCTAATGAATCCGAGCAACTTTCCTTTGGGATTGCAGTGTAGTATCTTGCAAATACGTGGTTCCATGATCCACTACATATTTCCAAAACTTCTCCATAGGATTTTCAAACTGTGGCTTTTTGAAAACAGATTACTAGACTTGCCACTAGAGATTATTAGAGAAATTAATTGTAAAAATTGATAATTTCCAAGAAACTTTATTTAAACACATGGCTGCTAAATGAAAAGTCAGCAGTTAGAACTAAGTAGATGTTCCAAAGTGGAAAGATGTAGCTGTCTATTTCCTGAAAATTATAGACTTGCAAACACTATAGAACAGTTTTACTGTGATCTACAGTGCTAAGGAGATGTTTTGTCAATCTGAACACACCATAGTTCTAATCTATCAGCTGCTCCACGGCAGAAAGATGAGCAATCAACTCCCATGGGATTTACTGCTTCTGAAAACCCAGTGTAGGGTCAGCTAAAGATCAGTTCCAACTCAATGATAAACAAAAATAACAGATTCAGTAGGAGATGTAATCAACTCAATGGCAATACGTTTGGGGTTCCTATTATAGTTTCCACATTAACAGTGTATTAACATAATATTTCCAAGTAAAAGAGAATCTACTGACTGACTAACTGAATCCAAATACTTTATAAAAAGGTCCTTATTTATTCTCATTTTAATAATAAACAGCTATTGAAATGTTTTTAAAAGAATGCTTAAATACATTTAGTTTTATAAAAAATATTTAAATTGAATAAATTCTCATTTATCAACTACCTATTTGGTCTTATAACCTGACAAGATATTAAGTAAAATTATCCAAGTAAGAAGTATTTTTGAAAATATACATTTTTTTAAATTTACATTTTACTAAGCTACAAATGAATTTTACAATGCAAGTTAAGCACAATAGGTTGGCTAAATGCATTAGAAAACACATTTGAAGCATATCTAGGAACTACATGCAGAATCTAAAAAATATCAAAAAAGTTAACAAAATTGCATGTTGTAACCTATGTTTTGCTTTTAATTTAGTGTAAACCAAGGACTTGCCATTGAACTCAGCTTTGGTTACTTCAACACATATTATACTGATATATTAGATATTTATGAAGGCATAGGATCAAACAAGATATTAAGAGGTAAGTTACAACAAATTTACAATTTATTGTAGAAATTCAAATATGTGATAAATATTTAGGGACCACTCAAAAGTGCTGAAGAGTAATGATGTCACTCTGGAGACTAAGGTGAGCTTAATACAGGCCATGGTCTTTGTAATCACTTGCTATGCGTCAGAGTTGGACAATGACTAGGGAAGATAAAAGGAGAATTGATGCCTCTGAGCTGTGGTGCTGGAGAAGAGTATTGACTATACAATGGACTGCTAAACGAACAAATAGGTTCGTCTTGAAAAAGTTAAACCAGGTAATAGGGGTAGGTGTGTCAAAGACAGTGAGATTGGCACAGGATAGAGCAGGGTTTAGGGCTGTTGTATATAGGTTTGCTATGAATAGCAAATGACTCGATGGCACATAAGAACAACAACAATAACATATTTTAGAGTGATGTATTTTCCTTTTGATATTGAAAGAGAGACATAAAAAACACTAGATATCAACACAAAAATAAGAATCCAGTGCTTTATAAAAATTTTATGCAATATTAAGGAAGAAATACTAGAGTAATTTCCACATACAAGTGAAATTTTGCTAAAGATAAGAGAAAAAACATTTAACCATCACACCAGCAAGAAACTGTCAGAATTGGATCCAAGACCAAAGAGGACATTCTAAAATAATTACTTTTTAGTTAGAAGATACTATCACATAAAATTATGATCAACATAAATATTTTCACGTTTGGACAAACAAATCAGTTAATTTAAATAACAGGAGGTATAACACAATATTAATAATAAATTTTAACATAGTTTGATCACCAAAAATGTAGAAGATAGCATTTTCAACATTTTTAATTCAATGAAATCCCCCCAAAATTTTATGTTTGTATAACTAATTTCTGCAGATAGTAAAGTCTAAATTCCAAAATATAACTATTAGCACACTTTTTACATTTTGCATTCTATGAATTGTCTACGCATAGTTTCAATTTATTTAAATGTTGCTTATCTGAACATTAACTCATGAATTTAGAATCATTGGTCATAGTAATGTACATAATTACCATAAAATTAAAAACAAAAAAATCCCACAAACAAATGTGTATTTAAATTACAAAGCATATGCTTAATAATATGGATCTATTCTAAGCTTTTTAAGAATATGATAAAGGAAAGTGACTGTAAAGATTGAATCTTTTCTCAAGGCAGTAATTCCAACTATAGCAGCTAGAAGTGTCCAGTGCCTTTTAACAACTTAATATTTATTAATCTATTTAAACATAAT